CACACACACACACACACACACACACACACACACACACACACACACACACCTCACAGCTGTCGTTGTGGACATTTTAGGCAGAGGAACAGTGTGAATGAAATCTTATTGTGGCTGTGAGGACGTGACGATGCCCACTGAGTACCTGACAGCTGAAKCCAAACTAAAGACCACCAGCTCGGTCTAATTACAGAGAAAAGGGGTCCATTTAGTCCAGAGAACGAGGACAGTGTCTGAACGTGCCCTCTAACTGTCCCGGCACTGAAACCCAGATAAGAGATGAGTTCCTAATAATGTTGCTTCACTGGTTTGTCTCATTTGTCATAGAGGGCTCAGAGCAGCAGCAGCAGGTGCTTCATGGGTATTTACCCCCTGGGTTTTGCCTGACAGGCTCTACATTTTCTCTGGCTGAATGGTGGCTTTGCAGCTGGACTCAAACAAAAACAGTTTTACATCCTCTGTATTAAATATGTGCCTAAAGACAGTAAAGGTTAGTGAAGAAGCAAGTAAAATATATTCTGTAACAGTCTTGTATTAAATCTTTATTTGCATCAGTGTTTTTTCTGTAACACTTGGAGGCAGTAGCAGCTAGCTTCAGCACTTCCTGTGCTGCCATGTTTTAATGTGTCTTAAAATAACATTAATATAAAGTACATTCACAGAGATTTATGAAAAGGCTGCTTTATAAATCTTTACATTGCATCCATTTTACCTTTTTGTTATTTATTATATATTTTTTGTTTTTAGCTCATGAAAGTAGCAGTAGCAGCTAGCTGTAGTGCTTCCAGTGCAGCTTGGGGCACTTCCTGCATAAATACTGAAGTAACATCAAAGGTGTTTTTAAATGTGATGTTTTTGGAGACTGAAGCTGTTTTAAGACGGTAGCGTGGTCAAACCTAAACATCAGTCTGTTTGCTTAAAGATCCATCTACAACAGGTAATATATTCACTGTTCATCACCTTTCCATAGACCCCCTTCAATAAAAAGGACGTTCCTTCAAGATTCTGCCCTGTCAAATAGTTATTTTCAGCTCTACAGTCTTTAACAGTTTTGCATAAAGTACGTCAAAGTGATACTTAATGAAAAATACCAAAATTATTTTGGTAAAAGTTAAATTCTCCTCTAAGAACAATTGTTGAAGTAAAGTGTCTGACATACTTAAAAGTCAATTTCTGATATAAAATGTAAGTTTTAAAAGTAAATATATTGAGTAAAAGGGAGCGGTTAGTTTCAGAAATCACATTTATWGGGAGGTGACTTTCTCAGAAAAAAAATAAATTCTGAATATAAATGTTGAAACTTTGGGACCATGCACCAGACTTTCTGTTTCAGCTGCATAAATTCACTCTATCCAAGAGATGCCAAATATGTGGACAAGGCTTATTTCTTTTTTGAACAAAACCAAATCAGAATGAAAAATCAGTAACAAGGTAATTTTAAAAATTTAAGGAGTGGAGTTTTTTTTATAAATACTTTTTAGGCACATTTTAGATATACTGTTTGTAAAAGTCCATCAAGGGACAAGTGCTGCAAATTAGCTCACGTTATAATCACCATGAGACAGGCATGGGACTGCTGTTTTATTCAGTTTGTCTATGTTGTTGTGTGTCTGTCCCTGTCAAAAAACCATAATAATAATAAGTYAAATTCCAGCTGAAAAATATAGGTAAACAAAATTTCTACTAAACCGAAGAAGAATTTCTACATTACTTTACACCTCTGGACTTTAAGGCTTTTTCAACAAACAGTTATGAAAAACATGAATTTAAAATTATCATTATGTTTTTTTCTTTTTCTTTTTTTTTTTCTTTTGGGGAACAGGGTTGCATTTTGTCTTTATTTGGTTTAATT